GCATTCATTCACTTTGGAATGCTGGGGCACTTGTAAGGCTCAAGTGTTTACTCATTATCAGTAGCGGTTATTCACTAGCAAGGCTTCTAATACTCTCTCCTTACTTCCAGGGGCTGCTTTATAAGTAGCTTTTGAAGACAAGCTTATGCTGGAAATCAACACATTATCGTGATATCGAGTTTTTTTTTTTTTCAGTAACTTGGAATCATCGAGTCAGGCATAAAAATAGCTGTTTATTCAAAAACCAAAATATCCTTTGTGTTTATTGTCCAGAAATAGTCCGAATGGTAGCAAGTGAAACCATCCACTGGCAGAGCTGTCCATGACTTCCTCTTCTGTGGGTTGCTTACAAGCAAGCTGATGCCGGTTTGACTCACTGGCATGTGACAGTACCAATTTGCCATCGAAACGAATGAACTAACTGTAGAGAGATTGGTTTTCCTCTGAAGAAATCCTCGATATTGAGCGCGAGTTCAGCGCTACTTGCTCCTGCTTTAATGTCCGCAAGGAACGGTTTTTTCAATAGCAGAATGGAGCCATCGACTGTAGCCTGAGAATGTCAACATTTATTACTTTTTCGAACCTCATAATTTATTGTTTCTGAATGAAGTGTTCTTTTGACGAACTGTTTGCTGCAGGCCGCGTATTCCCTTGCTGACGCGTGGCTCATCGTTCTATTTCCCGACGTCCCGAGTCCTTCACGAGATTGAGGTCGAAGGGCCTGGCAAGCGTGATGGCCCACAACCAAGGTTCACTCGCTACCCGCTGCAACACCAAGCTCCTCGACAACATCTCTACAACACCGGCAACAAGTACAGTCCGCCTCCTACTGCTCGTAATGCTGGAAAAGTTGCTGAAGGTAAGTCAATAGGTTCTGTGAAATGTCATGTACGGTTCGAGAAAGGTAATGATTGTTGAGGGCTGGAGAGGGTCACTTTTCTTACAGTTTCTAAGGATATTTTTTGATGTTTTTGGATTTGCCAAGAAATCGTTGGCAGCACATTTAATTGTTCTAGTTTTTTTTTGTGGTCAACAGTTCTGTAACTCCACAACCAAAGCACCAGCTAGAGTGCTTAAATTTTCTGAGCGTGGCTGACGACTGTGTTTGTGTAGGTGTGTGTTTAGAACACCTGAAACAGCTGCTGCAGGTTCACTGTCTGAATGGAGTGCCTTGTTAAAGAAAGCAATATAAATTAGCTTGTTAGCTATAAAAACCCTTGGCGTTTTCGCAGTAATTCTAAATTTATGAGGCTGAATCATCAGGTGTGCTGCATACGGAAAAACACTAAAATTTACTGATTCAGGAACTTTCAGCGTTTTCTTGTTTATATTTTCCCTCATTTTCCCTTATTTTCCTGTATTGTTACCTTCTTGGATCTTGTCACAGTGGATAATCCACAAAAAATTGCTCCATATTTGCTAATAACTTGCCTTGAAATTTTGGTGTTTTTCCCCGAATTTCCTGTATCTGAAATTTCTTGAAAAAAGAGTTTTGATCTGATGTTTTCCATTCCAGCTAGTAAGTCCATTCTTGTGATTTGTTTGCAGTGATTCCAGAAAATGTGCAAGAAGAACAGCTGGTGAACAGCGCGGGTCTGGATGCTGCTGCTGTTGCTGCGATGAGTAAAGGAGAGGAGTTTCCCACAGTGGATGCATCACTGACCGGTGGTCACGAGAATGTCGTAAGTTAATTTCCGGTTTGTTTCGTTCAATTTTTCTGTTGCAGCAGCTTAACTCTCACAAATTTTTGTGCGTCAAATAACCACCAGCAGTAGTTTGCCTTGCTTCTTCCGTTCTGTAGAACTAACGTGCAATCCTTGTTTCTAATAGCTTCAGAATGAAGCAGAATCCACCCATGCTTCGAAATTAAGTTCTTTTTATGCACTTTTTGTAATGTACATTTCTAGGATCTACACTTCAGCTCTTGCTTCCGCACGGGTTACAGTATCTTATAGAGATAGGGGATTTTTATTTTAAAATTTTAGAGCAACGATATTTTTGAGACAGTTTTGCTTGTTAGAACAATCGCTGGCATCAAAATTTTATGGAAAATATTTCGATTTGGCCGAAATTCGTCCCCGAAATTTGTCTCGCTCCGCAGAAATTGATTCTTAGTTAAGTGAGCTGTCAAATTCATCTCGTTGATTTGTATATGCTCTAAATTCGTTCCCACTACTACTTCAGTTTTGATCTTATGCAATGAGTTTTTTCATCGACTGCTTTGACCAGTGCTCCATCGCCTAATGGTCAGCATGTTGGCGATCCTTTGCTTACTTTTCCCCGCGCAGGTGTATTTGCTAATCTTTGTTTGAATTCAAAAAATTCATATTTTTCTCTCATATTGACTTCCTCTTGAAGGAAACTAATCGTTGTTTTACCTAATACCTGAGAGAATTTTTCC